TAGTGTTACCTTAATGCTAAATTAGATTTCGTCATTCCAAGGTCCAACCGAGTAAGGACCGAGTGTTCGGTTTGTGTTTGAGCCCAAGGGCATATCAGTAAGTATCAGTTCGAGCCTTTATGAAGTTTGGGTTTATGTTAGAAAAGTTTTAGGGTTTTGGACTTGAGTTCGAGATCATCACTTTAGAAGAAGAAGAGCAATCATAAGAGAAGAAGAAGTCATTCGTTCATGAAGAAACCCTAAATCGGTTTTTAGTGGAGGAATATATCATTTATTGTTTTGTCAATCATTATTATGCCATGTCATAATAGTTAAGCCAAGTTATCATTTAACCTGTAAGAACCAATTACCGGTGGGTAATATTTGAACAAAACATATAGTTTGTTGCTGTTTTTTGTACAAAAGGTTTACTTGGATGGTGTTTTTTGAACATACCAAACTTGGATAGTGTTTTTTGAACGATTTTGAAACATAGTTACCTCTTTGAGTCATTTTCTATTGTTTTTTTTCCTTTTACTTATTTTTTACCGGTAATTGCCGGTTACCAAAGGTCAAATTTGAACAAAGAATGTACTTTGTTGGTGTTTTTTATACAAATGCTTTACTTGGATGGTGTTTTTTGGACACACCAAACTTGAATGGTATTTTTTGAACGATTTTGAAACATAGTTACCCATATAAGTCATTTTCCCTTAAGATTGACACACACATAATATGTGTGTGTCCCGTTCTTTCCTTTCTGATCAAGAATGCCCCCCAAGACTTTAATAGACAAATAATCCTTATACTTTGTTGTTTTGTACAATTTTGGTCCAATGCACATATCTTTTATCTCGTACCGCTAAAGGAAGCAATATGAAGGAAATAAGGGCACTTATAAATAAACATAAACGGAAAAGGTTATTTTTTTGGGAAAATGATGCAACGACCCTACTATCTTTTTTGACTTTGTCCATTAAGTCCCTAAAGTTATTTTATTGCGCTCTAAGGGAACAAAGTTGATGTTGACCTGCTTTTTGGTCACTGCGACCTAATATACCATGTTACATAAGCCATATAAGCACTTAAAGCTGATGTGGCTTCCTTCTCTATATGATTTGATACTTTTTAATAAAAAAAATAAGAGTAATAAAACTTAGGGCCACCCACCTCTCTCTCTCTCTCTACCCTTATATATCCCTGGTGTTGTCGGACGATGATCCTCCTATTCGTAATCCCCAAAACTATGACATCAAGAAAGAACACAAATTGTTAAATACAAAGCTTGATTTGGATCGTAACATTAAGATGAATTCAATAACCTCACCTATTTATTTTGCAGAGGAATTGGAGATCTAGAACAGTTTCACTATGGCAAGAATCGATGATTGCATGAAGTTTCATCATACCCATCAAACTCGTCGCCATTGTGGTTCCTCTACTGTGTATCGTGGCCAGAAAAGTAGAAGACGAGCGAGTCTCCTGGCTGACATCCTTCGATTAGCCAATAGAGTGTAGTCCTCATGTTACGTGTTGTTGGGATCCTGCTAGACTCTTTTTCTTATGCAATTTTATAGCAGGTTGTAACATCCCGACGATAAGGTACTTTAAAATTTAACCCTATAATTTTATTATGTTGCATTATGGGTCCCTAAGTAGAAGGAAGTGTGCATGAGAAGCCCTAGTGGCACTTTTGTAATTTGGGAGGTTTGTGAGTACGCTATGCGTACGTGTGTACGCTTAGCGTACTAAGGCGCGCCTTAGTACACAGGGCGTACATAGGTACGCAGGGTGTACATGCCCAACATGCAAACCCTAATTTTTAGGGTTTAACTCATATTTAAACCCCATTATTGTTGGGATGTCAAGTCCACCAAGCAAATTACACCATTTGTTTGCAAATAAAACGTAATATAATGGTAAAAAGGGGTATCGATCCTCGGTGAAATGGTTGTATTCAATTCACCAATGCAATCCAATAGAGCTAGTGTAAATAAACTAACTAACTACAATTAATTTAAAGGGGGGGGGTGTTGTGATTGCTTGAAAACTACAAGACTTGAATAACTAAAAAGCTTTCAATCAAGCAAGATGGTGAGATGCTCAAATATTGGAGATAATTGGTTAACCAAGGCAATTCAACACAATGAACATTTGTATGTTTATCATTAGGATTCAATATGAAGCTTATCATTCATCCCAAATTAGTTATATCAATCATGAAGCATGATATGCCAAGATTCCTCATAGGTAGTATGGAGGTTAGGGAAGCCCACAACACACCTTCTTAATCAAAATCAAGGATCCAATTGAAGAAATTGAACCCAAGAAGTTGATTAGCCTTAAGAATGAAGGAATCCCCAGTTCCTAGAGGATGTCAATGCTTACACATTCATAAAGGAGTCATGATTCATAAGCTAGAGATGATTTCTACCATCATAAAGCCCTTGTTCTAAATAAATTCAATGATTCAATGCTAAACCAAAGAAATAAACCAACAATTCTCATTCAAGTACCAAGCTCATGATCAAAGTATCAAACAAGCATAAGAAATATGAACTAAAATCATAAACATAATATAAATGACAATTAAGCATGAATCCTTCAAAAAACCCACAAATATCCAAGGGTTTTAGCAAAAGTTAACCAAAATAGAGAAACTAGCCACTCATGGCAACAAAATAACAATCACAAAAGTGTTTTTGCATCAAGAATCTACTAATTACTTAGAAAGATGAGAAGAATGAGTATCCAAGCTCCAAAAATCGCCTCTCTAGGTCTTTAATGGTGGAAAATCGAAGTGTATCTGAAAGATCCAACCCCCAAGGTAAATGGTAAACAAAATGACCAAAATGCCTAAAAGTGTGCAGTTGCGCGGGTACCCGCGTAAGTGTTGCGCGACTGAGACTCCACCCTCGCAAGTGTTGCTGGAATGCTATTGGTCTATTTTTCTCCACTACCCACTCCACTACCCAAGATTCCCTTGGTCCCCTCCATGACTCACATGATTTGAATTTGGCCAATCACCTTCAAGCTTTAAATATGGATAGTCCATGCCCAAAATAAGAATCCATGACCCATCTTCAAAAGCCCACTTCATCCAAATCTTCAACTTTTTAAGCTCAAATCTCCTTTGATGGATCCGTAAAGCCCAATAATGCATCGAGAAGCCCATTAAGCCCAAATCCAGTCAAACCGCAACCGCAATGAGCTCCAAAACCCTGCAAAATATCTCATGCAAAATAGAAAGTACCCGACACGATCCATGATAAAGAAAATAAAGAATATACAATGCAAAACTAATAAAAAGAGCTAAAATACTAAAATAAACTAATAAAAATAAGGAAATAAAATCAACTATCAAATCACCCCAAGCTTAAACCTAACTTGTCCTCAAGTTAGAACAAGACTAAAATGAGCTCAGGATGAGCTAAACTACAAAGGAAAAAGAAAGATACCATAGAACTTGGTCAACATGAGTCAACATGGTCAGAATCAGTCTTTCATGGAACCTACACATCTTCAAAATGTTCCCCACTTTAGAGCCATAAACCACATTCTCGAACCACTTGACGGGCGAATAGATCACGGCTGGATGTAGTCGCGGTGTGCAAGATAAAGGAAACAGAGGATGCGCCCAATGGGGGAACTTTAAATCACCAATGCAGATCATAATGCATGAAGGAAAGGCGCCTCTTCACACACGACGATTCCTACATTTCTCAGGCTAAAGTGTATAATTCGAAATAGGGTTTTGCAGCGCGACCTCCGGGCAAACATCCGGTTTCAGAGGCTTCTCCCTTGTACTGTCCTTTACAATCTACCGTCTCATCGTCATAGCCTTTTCTCACCAAAAATCAAAAATAAAATAAAATAATAAAAATTCTACTTAACCTAAATCTAAACCTAACAACTTAAATCTTCAATCTTGAACTTCTGTTATTTGGTTTTCAGTCTCTTTGTAGCTCGATCTTTATTTATTTATTTATTTATTTATGGAGAGAAGTGTTGAACTTGGATTCTTGTTCTTCTTTTTGTGTTGCTCTTTTTCTTCATTTTTCTTCTTTATTTTTGTTGCTTTTCTTTAATCTTCTTCATTGTTTCTTTTTTGTGTTTTCTTCTTGTCTTTCTTCTTGGAAGGTCTAAGGAATTTCACCATGTAACATATGACTCTAATAGTGAAAATGGAGTAATAGATAGAGGCTAACATGAACACCTAATGATCATTAATAATGTGTCAAGATCTACTAAAAAGGGTGGGGTATGACTCAAAAATGGGTGTTACTGAAAAACTTGGTCCCAAAAGATGTGAATTGGGGGACCCACTTCAAAGTTCATCAAGCACCTCAATGCAAGGCGTGATAAACAAAATCTATCTAACTATCTACTTTAAACCCCTAGAAAAATGATGACCTATCTTAAAAAGGTGGTGAGAATCTAACTAAACAAGCCTCGGACGAGACTTGGGAGTATTAAGGGTTACTCCCCCCCCAAAACCAAGATGTGAGTCTTCAATGTCTTCAAAATACCTTACCAGGCTAATCTTTGCTCGCACACATCGGTTTGACCAACCACATCCCTCCGCACCTAGACCCAATCAAGCTACCTGCATCTGACCCCCACACAAGCAGTCTCAAAGTGGTTCGTGAGGCTCAAAACGTGTCCCATTTATCCAATACAAGGAATTCCATATCAAGACCCGGGACCAATCTATAATTCAATACTTATGACTCGGTGCTATGATACCTGTAGGGATGAGAAGACAAGAGAGAACAAAAATCATGAACTTAAACTAGAATGCATCTAAAAAGTATGAAAATTAGAAAAGAAAGAAATAAAATATGCAAATATTTTTGAATTTTTTATGCAATTTTTTATGAATGACCTAAATGACTTACTCTAAATGCAACTATATACAACCTAAATGCAATAAAAAAAGATAAAGAATACCTCACCCCAAGCTTAAAATTAAGCATTGTCCTCAATGGTTAGGATGAGAGTAAGGAAGGATCGTACTGGGATCAAGGTGGAGGAGGCCCGCGAGGACGGTAACCGCCTTCGGGCTGAAAATGATGCCAAAGATCATCCATGTAGTTGTGGGCGCGAGCTTGCAGCTCCTCGATGCGCCGAATGGTTGTGGTATTCCGGTTGCCATGGAGGCGCAAGGTAGCAAGCTGACTGTATATATCAAGAGGAAACTTGGGTCCCGACTTGTTGTGTTGTTGGTAAGACTGGTACTCATGTTGTGGCTTGAAGTGTGCTCCCGAAGGTTGATCATAAAAGGGTGGTGGCAGTTGTCTAATTAGGAGGTCATAATGGTCTTCGGCCTCAAATGGGCTATCAGCATTGCCAGTGTCTACCTGCATGTCATCAACATCTCCTGCATCATCATCATCATGTAACTCTTTAGGCAAGAACCAAGTTTCGGGGTCGCTGGTGGTAAAGGTGGATATGTTGGTATTAGGTAAGATGTAAACTGATTCCTTGGCATGATTGAGCCAATAGTAATGGCTATTGATGGTAGGTAGCAATAATTCCATCCGGGTGAGAGCTAAGTAGTCGAGGAGATAGAGAGGTGGGTCATCCACTGGTACATACTCAGACTCGGGAAATTGAAGGCCCACACCCAAACCAATTAGGGTAATGAGACCTCCAATGCAAATGTCGCCAGTGGTCTTTGTGCGTATGCTGTCACATTTATCCAAGAAAAAAGTGGCGAAACCGGGGCAAGACCAATGGCGGCTAGTCATGCAATAGAGGAAATATAGCTCGACTGTGTTTATTTGTCCCGGCTCGTGACGACCAAAGATGGAAGTTGAAAGATGTGACAACCGTCACTTTCTGGTCAAGTCAAAGTCAAAGAAAGTCAACAAGTCAAACCGACCAACTCAATTAACCCTTGTATATTAGGGTTTACATTATGTTTACTATTGTACAACACACCATCCTAATGCAAAGTATCACTCAGAGTTTTCACGTGTTCAGAAAATCTAAACCCTAATTCGGGGTAAATGATGGAACTACTCGATAAAAGTTTAATACATACCTTACGGGAGCATATAACACTCATAACAAGGCTTAACGAAGCCTACGGTCCTTGCACTACAAAGAAAAAAACACTAATAAAGGCCCCCGGCAAAATCTCTCCCAAATATCTCTCTCTATCTCAAATCTCTCCCAGATATCTCTCCCAAATCTCTCCAAGAATATGAAATCTCTCCCAAATCTCTCCAAGAATATGAAATCTCTCCCAAATCTCTCCAAGGATACGAAATCTCTCCTAAATCTCTCCAAGTATGTGAAATCTCTCCCAAATCTCTCCAATTATGTGAAATCTCTCCCAAATCTCTCTATGCACATTCCTCAGTCGAAAACAGCCCAAAACCAAAGGAGAAAACCCAAAAGGATCCTCTTGGTCCGGAACCCTCTTGGTCCGGAACCCTCTTAAGAACCGGACAATTTCGCATCTTCGGACCTCCCTCAGCTTCGGAACTTCTTCACTCCGGAATGTAGCTCCGGAATGCCTTGCTTCGGACCATCTCACATGCGATGGGAGGACTTCGCCCTGGACAACCTCGCTTCTCGGAAGCCTCTGATCCGCTCCGGAAGCTGCTGACCCACTCCGGAACTTAGAGTATCACTTCGGAATTTACACATTGGCTCCGGAATTGGCATATTGACTCCGGAACCCTCGCAGGTTCGCTCCTTATTTCCCGTTTTCGATCTTTTTCGAGTTTTAAGCTCGTTTTTCATGATTTTAACACAAGATTTTCACCCAAACTCATATTTTGTCTTTTAAGACCCTATATATTCATATTTTAATCACATTTGGGGGAAATCTTAACTTAAGAACAATATCTATTGTGTAAGATATGGATGTGGAGTGTTGACTTTTCATAAAGTATGACACAAGCTATCCCCCATACCCACTTATGACAACCTCCAGTCACTATTCCTCCCTACCTAGTCAATTATTTGTCCTCTCACACTCCCTTTCAACAAGAGATTTTGATCAAAAGCTGGAAAACCCTCATCTCTCCTCCCACTTTACTCACTCTCTCACCAAAAAGCAAACACCTCTCTCTCACTTTCTCTCTCTAACAACTCGAGACTCCAAGGCTGATATTGAGCTTTTCACTCACATTTAGTAAGTATTCTCATCCTATATTTGAACATTCTTCACACCTTCACTCAAAATTATGGATCTCTTATAACATATATCGCCATATTTGTTCTTAGATCTTCAACTCTCCAAGCTTTTACCAAGTGTTCTTGACTTGGAAACCCCATTTCTTCAGCATTCACCTAAGGAAATCACTCAAGGTGAGTTCATACCCCTACATTTTCATGTTTTCTTCGATTTTTAAGAGAGGGGGGGGGGGGAATACAAGTTAATACACCAGAAACTTAACTAAACTCAAACAACAGCTTTCATCAGAAAAGTTGAGTCCTATTCACGGACTGTTTTGACCATCCCAAAGTTAATATCTTTCAAAACTGTTTAATATGCAAGTAGTTCAGGTTTATAACTTTCTATTGACTACTTGCACATCTCCATACAATTTTTCTATAAATTATGGTGATTTTTACAAAACTGACTATCACTTCAAAAACGAATTCGGACCAGTCTGTGAATATTGACATTTTCACACAAGTTAGAGACTTCTAAAAATCATAATAAAAATTATGAATAAACTATACACATTTTCTAAACTCTCAGAGCTTACGGATTCAGTTTTCGACCTCGTATGATTTTTCTAAAGCAGTGCAGAAAGTTAAAAACTAGTTACATAGCTTACAATATTAACAACACTTTGTAGCATGTTGAGCAAGGTGTATAGCAACAAGTTTATAAATTTTGAATGTATTTCTTGTTAGTCTAACATCATAAACAGAAAATTTGTCATTTATGATGAGGATTTCAAACACTTCTATTAATTACAATAAACTATAATAAGTATAGTTTATGGATTTTACAATACAAGCATACTACATGAAAATGGTTTTACTCTCAATACAAACCGGGTTTTCATTTACCACATGATAGACTATAATAGGTATAGTTTACGGATTTCACATTACAAACATACTACACTAAAGGGGATTTCAATTTCACCACAGAAAAGGTTTTACTCGCATACTATACGTAAACTAGTTATCGTAAATTGTGAGACTCGTCTTCATTGTACTCTTAGGGTACGGGTTAAAATTCCTGAATAGTTATAACCAGAGTCTCTTGTAAGGAGAGCGTGATAATTGTGTATAGATCTATATTGGGATTGACAACCCACACCCATGCTGCTTGCATAAGCCCGATCGGCCGATCGGGGGTGACAAATGTGTAACATACACGTTTTGAAATCGTGTTTTAAGTAAATAATATTATGTAATATTATGTGATATTGAGTATTAAGTTCTAACGGATAGTTTTTAGTAGAAATGAAGTAAAACTATGTTTAGAATCACCCGGAATGTTTTGGAAGTCTTATGAGATTCCGAACATTAGGCTAATATTGAAATTTAACGAAAATATAAAAATTGAAATAAGTAAAATTTTATCATTGAAAGTTGTAGATAATTTTGTTAGAAACATTTAGGCGAAAACCTCATCGAAATCTGAGTTATAATGAAGAAGTTATGACCAATCGAAGATCCGCGACAAAACCGGCACGACGCCGAATGACGTAAAAAGTGAGTTTTTGATAAACTACTTTTTAGCCTTGGTGATCTAAATGAAAGTCGTAGTATTTGTTAAACCGAGAATTTTCATAATAAGAACGCCCAAATCTGACTTCGTATGAGGAAGTTATGATTTTTCTAAGTTTCAGCTTAGCAATAGACAGCTAAAAACTCGAATTTTAGATCGAGTGATTTTTATCCGACACAACCTAAACGACAATTGAAGGTCTCGTCAATAGTAGTACAACGGTAAAACGATAGACGAAAACGGATGTCGGATGAAGAAGTTATGAATTTTTAACGGATTTTCCTGTCCCGGTCTGTTAAAAATAATAATATTAAAAATAAAGTCAAAATTAGCCGACGAAGTCTAAACGAGAGAGTTGTAGATTATATTCTCACCTACACGTGCATATAAAGAACGTCAAAAACCGAGCACGTGTGCGAAAGTTATGAATTTCGGAAGATTTTGGCTCAAAAACCGAGAAATAGTGGATAATACTGGGAATTTTCGCATGAACAGTACCGGCCACGTCACCCGCTCTCGCGAACCGCCCCGTGTCCGATCTCGGTGAGTCAGAATGTCGCGTGTCCGACGTCGATGAGCTGTGCAGCCGAGAATCCGACACGCGTCGCTATCCGATTCGACCGAAGCTGCGGCCCTCTCCCCTTCCGATGCGTGGCGTCGCGCTGTAGCCTCCGAACTCGGACGCGTGCCTCCGTCCAAACCGAGCCACTTGTCATCCGAACCTCGCCCTTCTGACGCATGTACCAAGCCTCGCAACTTCGCTGCTACCTGGCTCCTCCCTCTTGCTTCAGATCTGAGGCTCGCACCTATATAAGGGTGCGAGACCTCCCGGGTAAATGTTAGAAAATGCCCCTTTTTCACCGCTAAACTCATATTTCTACTATTATCAACTTCCCTGAACCGGATGATTCCAACGGCCCGAAACGCCAGAAAAACAGATTTTTCAACCCGCCCACACCTGCAAGCAGCGGCCCGAAGGCCCGAGAAGCATTTATCTTTTCGGTTTGAAGCCCAACCTCTCAGGGCCGGTTTTCAATGAAGAAAGGTAATTATAGTAACGAAGTGCTGCCCAAATTACTATTTTAACCCTCGGTTATTTCACGGTGAGGTTAATATATAGGAACAATTGTATGTTATGTGTTATATGTGTTATGTGTTTTTCAGTGTTTTTATTCCGGGTTATTTTCCTGTGTTATTTTTATTCCTGCTATTTATGATAGCAAAGCTATACCTTTGACCATGTGATCAGTGAAAGGACTTAGATTCACGGTGGTACTGGTACGTAGCCTCTGTCCATGTAGAGCATGTCTCCATAATAGAATGACTCCTATTCTATGGCATTGGCAGATGGTTAGACAGGGCTATAAGCCTGAAATCTACGAAAATGTTTAAATCAGAAAGTGTATGTCTTCTGTGCCATTTGGGCCGAAGCTTTATTGATGTATATCAAGTATAGAAATTGTCACGTCTCATTGATCGTATATCTTTGAATCAAATCATTGATTGATATGGAAAGTTTGTCATATGATACTAATTTGACTTTGTTGTTCCTTGTTCCTCTTTGCTTCTGCCATATTGAAGTAATATAATGGCATAACATTAATATTTATCTATTATTGAACTCACTAAGTGTCACCGCTTACCCCTCTCAATGTTTAAACAAATTTGCAGGAGATAAGTAACCAGTATAATCGTATACTGTTGAAGATTTTTGAATAATTGAAACTATGGTATTGTACTCATGTATGTATAACTTATAGTATCCTGGGAAGTTATGTAACATATAAAAATTGTGAGTAGTCGGTTTGTATCCAGTCTTATGTAAACAAGTTA